ATGGTACCTTGTACACAGAAGTTGCTTAATAAATATGTGTTGAATTGGTCTTTTGAATTTTATCTCTGACACCTCATAGAACTTATAGTTGATTTCTCTTCTAAAAACTGCCCTAAATGAATCATGTTTTCATCCATTCCCTTCCAGTCTTTTTCCCTTAATGGGAGCTACTGTAGACAAGTGAATCAATAACAATATACTTAAAAAAAAAAGTAACATCTTACTTTGGGTTTTGAATTTGGATTCAAAAAAGAGGGAAAGAACAAAGCATTTATTAAGTACCTACCATGTGTCAGGCACTGTGCTAAACCCTTTCCAGATATTATCTCATTTGATTCTCTCAACAAACCCAGGAGGTGGGTGCTATTATTATGCCCACTTCTTTAATTAGACCTGTGGTTAATTGAGGAAACTGAGGCAGAAGGAAGTTAGGTGACTTTTCCAGGGTCACCGATCTAGTAAATGTCTGAGGCTTGATTTGAACTCAGATCTTCCTGACCCCAAGTCCAGAGCTCTGTTCACACTGTACCACCAAACTACCTCTTCACAAGTACATGATAGGAAGATGTGGTTAGTTTAGAATGGGGAGGCACAGGATACTAAAGGTAGTCTAGTGTAATTGTTCACAGGACAATTAGGTGGCGCTATAATGTGTAGAGTGTCAGGCCTAAAGTCAGGAAGATCGATCTTAATATTTATTTAATGCTTAGCACGATTTGCCTTACTTTCCTCATCTGTAAAATAAGCTGGAGAAGGAAATGGTAAACTACTCCAGTATCTTTGCCAAGAAAATGGTAAATGGAGTCACAAAGAGTTAGACATGCCTGAAACAACTGAACAACAAAAATGGTTCACATTTTTTGTTCCACCAACCCCTTTCAACTACAACCACCACCACCACAACAAAACAACAACAATAACAACAAAAACAAAATGTTTTGTGATCCCAAGAGTAATTTAATATGATATTCTTTAAAATTATTTACTACCTAAGGTAACATTGATGACTTTTTTAAGCACAGACTACTTGGATTATTATTGCAAACCTCAAGTGGTTTGAGAACCACTAATTGGGAACCACTGGTCCAGTGGAACCACTGGGATTGATGTCAGAAACCTATATTCTGCTATCAAGTGTGACCTTGGACAAGGCCCTTGAATTCTCTGACACTCAGTTTTTTTGCATTTGAAAAATCAGGAGGGTGGTTCCATCCAACTCTAAATTCTACTTTCTTTCCTATATTAAAGAATAGATTTGTGAAGAAAATTGGCATCTAACTTTTGGAAATAAATAAGCTCCATCTTCCAGTAAAAATATATACTTCTTGAGTGCAGAAAATTTACTGTTTGTTTTGTATCCCTAGCACCTCTCACAGTGCCTTGCAAAGTTTAGACTCTAAGACCATAGAATTATTGCTCTAGAGCAGGAAAGTACCTCAGAAGCATAATTTATTTGAATAATTTTGAATTATGCAAACCCCTATTGTTTTGAAGGCCAGAGGTGTTAAGTAATTTGCTGCAGTCACTTAGGTCTAATCCATCAAAATGGAATTTGAACTTGGGTCCTCTGATTCTAAAGGCTTTGGGTGAGATTCATTGTGGAAATTCTCATATTGTGTCCAAGGAACTCAAGACACTTCAGAGAACACCTTACTATCCTCGCAACCCTATATGTTCTTGGAGCAAAGTGCCTTGAATAAAGTAGGCATTTTATAAATGTTTGTGACAGTAAAAATGAGAGGTTTTTGAAGAGAGTTTATACCTACTCAGAATTGGAAAGGCAGAACGTGAACCGCTGAAAGCAAAAGTTTAAGTTGACTCTACCTCTCTCTCCCACCTCCAGGACTGCCCTTATGGGCTACAAAGTCCGTAATTGAGTCATTGAGTTACAATTTGTACTTCTGAAGTTTAAGAATAGCTTTAGGGAAGGAATTCTTTGCCTCTTTTCCACTTCCAAAAAGCCTCCTAGGATTTCTTTAACTTGATAATTCCTCACAATGAATGCACGAATGAATGAATCAAAAATCATTCATTTAAAGGTTTACTCCCAGCTAGACACTGTGAGCCAATTTTTTGCCCTCCAGATGTTTATATTCTAATAAGAAGAGATAACTACTTTGGCCAAGTGGTAGTCTTGGGGGTATAAAGTCCTGGAGGGTCAGTTCTTTTATGAGGCAGTTGCCTCACCTTTTCCAGAAGCATTAGGTTTGTTGATTTAATTACTGTGGCAATTAAAAAAAAAGGGGGTGCAGTGCTACCCCTTCAGGAGCTAGGCAGATGCAAAGATGATTCCTGGGCCCCTGTGTGTGATCTGTGGATGGGAGTGGTAGGAGATCCAGTTGGATTATATTAGGCTAAATAAGTGCACATTCAGCCCTCAATTTAAGACAACCCAGCCTCTGGGAAGAAGCTCCAAATTTAAATGGATTAACTTCCTCTGAAAAGTTGCAGGATAATGTAGTTCTCTGCACAGAAGAAGCTGGTCCAGCTCTAGAGAAACTGGGCAGACAATAAAATGCCCAGAATGGGATTATAGGGTGTAAGAAAGATTTCAGGGGATTAGGCTTCCACAGCAGGATAAGAAATTCCAAGATTTTGTGAATAGTCCCTCAACCAATCAGAAAGTACTCCAAACTTTTCTATAAACAACTAGTTTCTTAAGAAAGAGCCCTAGAGGCTTCTTGCAACCAGCTGGGTTCAAGGACTGGACTTCAACCAGGCAAAGGCTTTTCTCCACTGCGCTTGCTCAGTAAGTTTATTGAATATGAACTGACACACCCCAAGGGTGGGGATAGCTGCCATTTTTTAACATGGGACCCATGAAGTAGGAGGAGTTAACAGAACATGAATGAACATACAGTGGGCTGTCCAGAAAGGATGTAACTCAGATGGACTAAACCAATAGGAGTCCTGATGGGTGGATTAGGATTACTAACAGTTTAAAAATTGATTCTACCACTGAACCAGTGCCCACGTGCTACTAAAGTGTGTTGTGCCCACGAGAAGCGTAATAAAGACTTTCCTTCACTCACTCATTGTAGTAGATTTTTGTTTCAGATTTTTCTAACATAGGGTATGGGCCTTTATCTGAACAACACCTCCCAGGAAGGTAATTACCTTAACCCCCTCCTTACTGAGAGGACATTGGGAATTCCTCTGATCTGTCTCTAGGGACTTGGGGTTCCTCCTAGGTAAATGGTAACTGAGTGTCAGGGAGACATACTTTCAACAGAAGAGTCACACCTCTATTAGTATGTACAACTAGAGTATTCCAGAAATAGCTGGGCTTTATCTCCCTTGTACTTCCAAAACTAGGCTGTAAGGTGGGAGAGGGGGAATGAATTTCTCTTTTCCAACTACAACCCTGTCCCTGCTCTGCATCAGGTTGTTTTCTGGACCTCAAGTTTTCCTATCTGCCTTTTTCTCCTTTTCTGTGCAGAAGTTCAAAACTAGTAATCCTGAGAATGGACCCATCTAGTTTTGGGGATTACTTCATGAGTAATCCTGAGTTTGAGAGTTCCCAAGAGACTGAGGTACTGGCTTCCCACAGAGAGATTTCCTCAACAATGCACAATTTAGGGAGATGACTGTGCTGCTACTCTTGATGATGATGGGATATGGGCCCAAGCTGAGACCTTTGCCCCTTACCCCAAAAAGAATTTGGGTCCCATTTGTCTAAGGGATTCTTCTTGAATTCTCCTGTGATCAAGGAGGTCTCTGGCAGTCCCCAGAGGCTATAATCCAATCTACTGGCCTTTCATTGTGGCTAAACCCAATCTCCCAATTCTGTTCTGTTACCTCCCAATTGCCCCTGGCCACTTCCCACCCTTAATCCTATCTAGATTCCATTCTCCCTTGGTCACAGGTCCAGGTCCCTGGCATTCTGTTTACCCCAGTTTACTGGCCACTCCTATCCAGATCCTCCTTAGGCCCCTCCTCCAGTCACACCATACTACTCCTAGATCCCTCTGACAGTCTTTCTGTACACAAGATTCATCTTGTCTCCATTAAGGTGCTCAGATTCCTTAAGAACCTAGCCAATAGCTCACAAATGCTCAGATTCCTTAAGCGTCTGCCCAGCATGGCGGATCTTTAGTAAACCTTGTCTCTGGCTGAAAGAAGGCTTGGGTCGAATTCTTTCAGGCAGGACCCACATATTGTGATCTTGGGGTTCCAGCACCCCTAAACCTCTAGACCTCAACACTGCTTCTGCTGAAGGAAGAAAGTCATATCATGAGACAAGAAAAGATCTCAGTTGATTTGCTCATCCTCTGTGATATTGCTACAAGTTGTTTAGACAGTGAAGGTGCAGGTAAATTCGGAAAATGTTTATTTAGCTGAAGGGTAGCTGCAGAAGGGAATACACTAAGGATGTGCTTTTTGCTTCTGAATTCACTCATTCAGGAGCTCTGGTGAGTCCTTTAAATAAAGGCTCTTCTTAGGACCCATGTTATATGTTGAGTATTTTTGCAAGAGCTGGGGATGTAGGTACCCAGATTTGGGAAAAAACCTATACCTGAGCCACAGCTAAGTTTTATTCAGTTTTGCTCTGGGGCCAGAACAATGAGTCAATGAGAAAGGTAATGATTCCTTTGGGTCAGCTTTCCCCTCTCCCTCTATAGAATCCCCCTATAGAATTAGAATCCATGTGAACCCAATGTCCATAGGTTTGGGGTTGAGGAAAGTGAGCAATATGTACATATATTGTATTCTATTTTCTATGTAGATATACTTGTGAGTTTCCCCAGTGGAAAATAAGCTCTTGAGGGCAGGAACTGTTTTATTTTTTACTTTGATTTCCCTAGTACTATACAAATAGTAAACACTTAATGCTTGTTTAATGAATGAATGAATGAATTTTCCTTTGGTTCCTTGAAATATGAATCATAATGCCGTTAGCTCTCTCTTGTGTAATAACCTGGTAGTCCTTTAATTATGCCCTCCTTCCTACTGAAATATCCATCTTTCTTAATGAGCCTCATAGGGTAGCCATACTCTACCTCCAATGACATCTGCTTTCACTGCTCTTTCTTCTGGTGAATCAACATTTTCTGCCACGAAAAGGACTTTCTTTACAAGATCCAGCAGCACAACCGATTTCTTTCAGAGACAAGATCAGTCATCTGCTCAGCAGCAGCCCTAAGTAAAAGCATGAAGGAAGCAAAGTTTGTCACTTCTCCCACTCCTCTGGCATACTTTCCCCAGTCCCTCTTTTTCTTCGCTGTCTCCGATCCTGAGACCTGGTATTTCACCCTGCCATCCTCTCAGGAGAAAAATGATCTGAAAATGATAATAATAGATGACATGTGTATAACACTCCTTTATTGGAATCTTACATGCTTGATTTTATTTAATCCAAATGCAGTTTTTTAAACTGTCAAGTATAATTATTTCATATATTAGATGGTCTTGTGTCCATAACTATATTATAACCTCTCCTCCTATACTCTGTTCCTTGAGCACATCTCTCTCCTGATTCTGTGTACTTTCACTGACTGACCCCTGCCTGCAATGCTCTCTTTCCTCATCTCTTGACTCCTGGCTTCCCAGGCTTCCCTTCAAGTACCAGTTAAAATACCTTCTACAGAAAATCTTTCCCTATTCCTCTTAATGCTAATGCTTTTCCTTTTAGGATTATCTCTTAACTAATTTGTATATATTTAGTCATATAATAGGCACTTAATAAATGTTTGTGGGGCTTGGTTTTTTAACTTAGTGATTAGGTAGTTTTTCAGAGTCTAGTGTCCTATGTTACAGTAGGTGGCACTGTGAGGCAAGATGTGTGATGGCTCTCCCTCACCAGCCAGGTCTGGATATACTTATCTAGCCCACCATTTGGCAGTTCATGTATCCTTGATTCCATCCCTATGGAAAGCAGGGAGGAAAGAGTAAGGAGTGAATGAGGATATGTGACCTAATAGCACCTGCCTTCCCAGCAAAAAAGGACCTCTGACTCATTTGTAGACTAGGATTGAAAAGAAAAAGAAAAAGATCCTGTTTAGTTCTGCCTTTAGAAAAATATTATTAATAATCAAAACCATATAAGATTCTCTCTTACTTTCAGATCAGAGTCTCCAAGTCAAGATGAAATACATGCACCACAAAGAAGTTGTAATTGCTCATTGTTTTCATGGGAAACAACATTAGAATATAAAAAGTTAAATGAAATTTTAAAATCACAGACAAAGTGCATGTCAGCAACAGTCACAGGGGGAGTTAAACTTTTCACAGCCCTTCCATAGCCCCTACAGCGATGGTCACAGATGACAATCTCAATCTATTCCAGTCAGCCTCACCAAAGTTCTTTTAAGAGGAAGAGCAGGGAGTAAGGGAAGTTCTAATTGTGTCAGCCACTTATTTTTAATTTCCATTCAAATGGACCAGCAACGTGGGACGCTCCACTAGCTCTTACTAGAAACTCTTCCCTTTTCTCTCTTGCTCAGTTGCAGACTCTACTCCCAAATTCTCCATGAGGCAGAAAAGTCTTCCTCAGCCCAGCTACAATAATTTCTATCACTCCCAGGATGGGAAGAGGACAATGTCTGTCTGTCTGTTTCCCTTTCTATACACACATGCACATATTTACATATTCATGCATGAATGTGTACATATGTGTATATATATATATATATATATTTATGTATTTCTCTTTCTCTGATTTGTCCCTCTCTGGTTTGAGTATAATCAGGACCCTAATCTTTCTCACAAAGGAGCTTGGTAGGGTTCATTGTTCTAGATCACTGAGAGTAATTTTTGAAACATTCACATTTTTAAATTAAATATTTGATATAATTTATTTGTGGCTTTCTTGATTTCTCTCAGGATTATCTAAAATTTCTATTTCTTATTTCCTCAATATGCTATTTTATATTTCTATAGATAAGAATTCATATTCTTTAAGTTATAAGTTTGGCTAACATATAATTCTATATAGTAGTTTCTAGTAATTACTCACCTTCTCTGAGGTTCATGCAATCCATATTTATTACTCAATCAAGATTCTAGTAGTAATTATCTGTAGACATTCTATATTAGAAATTTTCTATAGACATGTGGAGCAGTTAGTAAGGTGGTAGAGTGGATAGAGTGTTGGGCCTGGAATCAGGAAGATTCATCTTCCTGAGTTCAAATCTGGTCTCACTTATTAGCTGCGGGTCCCTAGAGTCACCTAACACTGTTTGCTTTGGTTTCTTCATCTGTGAAATGAGCTGGAGAAGGACATGCAATCCACTTCAGTCTCTCTGCCAAGAAAACCCCAAATGGGGTCATGAAGAGTTGCACACAACTGGAGCTATTGAACAGCAACATAGACATTCAGGATTTTCTCCTCTCAGTGAGTTCATCTGGCTCAAAGTCCTCTCCTCCACAACTCCTGCCCTTATGCTAGGGAATTTCAACATACATATTGACATTTGTTTCAAATCTCTAACCTCTCAATTCTTCAATTTCCACATTTTCATGACCTACTCCTCCACCCTACCTCAGCTATACGCAGAGATGGCTATACCTTTTGATCTTGCCATCATCAACAAGTTTTTCCCAGCCATATTCACGAGCTCTGAAAGTCTTTTCTGTGATCATTTGTTGTCATTCCACCTCTACCTCTGCCTTGCAACTCCAAATCCCTTTTTTTTTTTTGCCTTCACCATGACCTTTAGTCCCTTTACATCTACTTTCTTTACCAGGCCATCCCCATTGCACTGGCTATACTCTCTTTCCCTCCCCATCTTAATCCCTTGGTGAACAAGTTCAACTCTACAGTGTCTTTTTTCTCCCAAGTCTCCTTTCCTTTATCTTATCGAAGACCTTGTGATATGAGATACCAGCCTTGGCTGACATTCACTGCCTTTGCTCTTACTCATATCTTACTGAACAAAGCTGGAGAAAAATCCTAAAATCGTGCTGACTTGGGTCTGCTACAAGTTTGTTACATAATCTCAACGGGGCCTTCACTATCGCAAGGCAATCCTTTGTACCTCCCAACATGTCCCGCTCACCACAGGAACTTTTTTTTTTTGGCTAGGCAATGAGGTTAAGTGACTTGCCCAGGGTCACACAGCTAATAAGTGTCAAGACCAACCCCACTGCATAAACAAGTGACACCATACCTCCCTGTCTTTTCCAACAGGTTACTCCACCCATCATGCCTCCTCTTGTACTAATCATCACTCATTTCCTGTTTACTGGTTATTTCCTATTGCCTACAAAGTGTGCTCTTCCTACAATTAAAAAAAAAGCGCTCAACTAGATCATTTCATTCTCACTATCATCTTTCCTCTTATTCTCTTCAATTTTTTTCAATTTAACTTCTGACATCATCATTCAAATGAAACTGCTTTCTCTAAAGTCACTAGCAACCCTTCTTGACTTCTCCACAGCCTTTGACAACTGTTGATCATTCCCTCCTCCTTGCTCTCTATTCTTTCTAGGTTTTCATGACAGTTTTCTCCTGGTTTTCTTCCTATCTATCTGACCACTCCTTCTCTGTCTCCTTTGCTGGATCTTAATCCATGCTTGCTAACCATGGGTCTTCCCCAATACTCTGTCCTGGGCCCTCCACTTTTCTCCCTCTTTACTACTTTATTCAGTAATCTCCTCGGCTCCATGGCTTCAAGTATCATCACTATATAGATGATTCAGATCTACTTGTGTACCCCTAGCCTCCCTCCTAGCCCCCAGTTTTTCATCTCCAATTTCCTATTGTACGTCTCAAACTAGGTATCCTGAAGAAATCTGAAATTCAACATGTCCCAAATTAAATGTATTATGTTTTTGCACAAACCCTTCCCTCATTCTAACTTCCCTATTACTGTTTAGGGTTCCAGTACCTTCAGTTACCAGGGCTGGCAACCTAGGTGTCATTCTCTACTTCTCAGTCTCTTACCCTCCCCTCCCCTTTACATCCAAACAGTTGACAAGTCCTAACAAAATACCTTAGTAACATCTCCTGTATATGCATTCTTTTCTCCTCCTACCAGTGCCATCTCATTACCTCACCCTTGGACTATTGCAATTGTCTGCTGGTTGGTCTGCCTGCCTCAAGTCACCACTCACTCTAATCTATCTTATAGTGAGCCATCAACCTGATCTTCCTAAAAAGTAAGACTGACCATGTCACTCCCTCCCCTCCATTCAATCAATTCCAGTGGCTCATTATCACCTCTAGAATCAAATATAAAGCCTTCTGGTTGTAAAAGCCCTTTATAATTGGACCCATTCCTACTTTTTATTCATCTTATACCTTACTTCCCATTACACAGTTTTCAATCTCCTGACACTGACTTCTTTGCTATTCCACACAATATTTCATTTCCCAACTCAGAGTGTTTTTACTAGCTGTCTTCCATGCCTGGAAACTCCACCTCCTAACTTTCCTGGCTTCCTTCAAATCTCAGTTAAAGTCCCAACTTCTGCAAGAAGCTTTAATCTTAATACCTTCCCTCTGATTACCCACAATTCATCCTGTTTCTATTTTGTTTGTACATAGTTGTTTGCATGCCAAATCACTCATTAGGCTGCAGGCTTCTTGAAAGCAGGGACTTTGCCTTTCTAAATGCCTAGCATTTAGCACAGTGCTGAAAATTTGTTTTTGTTGTTCAGTTCTTTCAGTCATGTCTGAGTCTTTGTGTCCCTTTTGGGGTTTTCTTAGCAGAGACACTGGAATGGTTTGATGTTTCCTTCTCCAGTTCACTTTACATATGAAGAACAGAGGTAAACAGGGTTTGACTTGCCCAGGCTCACACAGGTAGGTAAGTGTCTGAGGTTGGATTTGAACTAAGGGAGATAAGTCTTCCTGACTTCAGGTCCAGCACTTTATCCACTGCACCACCTAAGTGCCCGCACTGAAAATAGTAGGCCCTTAATAAAAGTTTGACTTCATTAGTCAGTTTACTACTAACTAATATGATTTTAATTTCTTATTATTTCTTTCTTATTAATCAAATTAGCTAGCAGTTTATTTTGTCAGCATTGTTAAATTCTTTGCTTTATCAATCATTTCAAGTTTTTGTTTTTCATCCAATGTCTTTCTGCTCATTCAAGTGGAACTTTTAAGATTTCTTCTTTTATGTTCTGTTGTTTTTTTTTTTAATATGTTCATTTTCTGGTTCAGTTCATTAATCCTCACTTTTCTATTTTGTTAATATATTTTGAGAAATATGTCCACTGAGAATTGCCTTAGTTTCATTCCCAAAATGTTAATGTTATTGTTATTATTCTATTTAATATATATTTATCATATTTATGATTTCTTCTTTGATATTCCATGTTTTGTTTGTTCTTCCATTCTTATTATTCTATTTAGTATACATATTTATCATATTTATGATTTCTTCTTTGACCAACTCATCATTCACGATATTTGACTTAGTATTCAATTGGGTCCATATCTTTAGATTATGTTCCCTGAATTGTCTGCTATATTTTATTGTACTCTAGCCCAAAAATTATCTTTAAGATTTCTTCCTATTTACATCTACAATTTCTTTTTGTCCTAATTCATGATATGTTTCTGTAAAGACAATTTTCAGTGCTGAAAAATATCTATATTCTTTAATATTCCCTTTCAGAAAACAGCAAAAGTCTACTTACCTGTGTTTTCCTTTGTATGTGTTGCATTTTTCCAGCTCTGAAAGATGAACATGAAGGACTGTCACAATTATTGTGATACTCTCAATGTCTTTTGTCATTTTTCCTTTAAGCAACTGGGCTCTCTGTCATTTGGTCCACATATACTTAATAATGCCATATTTCATTGATATTCATCCATATCATTCATTCCCTTAAGCATAGTATAATTTATCTCTTAAAATATTGTCAATTTTTCTTGCTGTTGTACCTGACATTATGACTGCAATTACTGTTCTTTTTTGGGACCATATGACACATTGTAAAACAATTTTCATACCCTTATTTTCATTTTTTATGTCTTTATTTTTTTTTAAATCTTTGGTTCCTTTTATGTTTCATTTTATTGGAAAGTTCTTTTGTCTTTTTAGCTTTTTCTTTTCCTGCCCAGATAAGAGTTCAGCATCCTGTTTGTGCCATCCCCTCCCCTTTTCTCAACTTCAGTAATTTTCACTTGTAACACCTTTTTCAGGGAAGTATTCACTTATTTCATCTCCCTCTTAATTCTTTTCTCTTCTACACTATTCTGAAATACATTATTTCATTCATAGGTCTTATACTTACATGTTCTTTTTTTTGTCCCTATACAAAGTAGCTTTCTGGAAGAAAGAAAAATTTCTATCTCTGTCTAATTTATTTTTGTTTGTCTGCAGATAGCACTCACTCCCCTCTTCCCTAATTTAAAAAATAATCTTTTAAAGAACCTTATTTCATGTAGTCTTATTCTTGGAACAATTAAATCATGAAGAAGGTAATGTAATAAGCTGGGTGACAGTCTACATATTCCTTCACCTAGGGGATAGGCTTCTCTGTGATTTTACTTTTACCATTTGCCTATCCTAAGGCTAGTTAATCTTAACACTAGTTTTTTAATCTTCCTAAAATTCACTCATTTTCCATACTAGGTGACTTTAGGGGACCAATAATCTCTTTTCCTAGGGGTGGAATACAGTTGTGGGAAGTGTGATCCTTGCTTTAAGTAGGGGATTTTCTAAGGTGCTCTCTCCCCCTGGTTAAAACCCATTGTAAGGTTGCTTTCTTTCTAGTCACCATGTGAATGTATATTAATATCTCCCCTATCATTTCCTCTCCCAGGAAAGGTCCCAGATCCTGTTCCTCATGTATGTACATACATATGTATATACATACATGAATTCATTTACAAGGCAATATAGGTTTGAATCATTGAAACATTAAATTCTACCTCCTTTCTTCCTCCTAAATCAAGCAAACTCCTTAGATTTTTATCTCCTGGGTTCTTATTCCAAGATGTTCTTTCTTTGACTCTCAAACAGTATGAAAGATTGCATTAAAAAATAATAATAGCCTTGTCTGGTCTTACAAATATTAGTAAATTGATTTCACTGCTTAGTCTTTTCTGCTACTTAATTGTTATCTACTTTTCTTGTATTTCTTGCTGTGAATGGCTAACATATTGAATATATTGATCTCCTAGCTTTTTATTTTGGACTAATAACTTGAATACTTCCTTGTAGTTGAAAGTCTATTTTTAAAAAAAATTATTAGGATCCACTTTGCAAGATGTCATTTTGGGATGCAATCCAATCCTCTTTATTTTTTAGAATATCTTATTAAAATATCTTCTTTGAATCATCAGAGATGAAGAATATTCTAGGCTATTCGGGTGGATTTTCCTTAAAGACCCAAAGTCTTTCTCTAGGCTTCTTATAACATTTATTGTTTGATATTGAAATTCTTAGTTTTAACCACAGATGTTTCCAGTGATTTAAATTCACATCTTTCCTTCTGTAGGTGATCAATGGATCCTAATGATACATATTTTTACTTATCCAGTATTTATGGACAATTTAATTTTTTTTCATGCAGCATGTCATTCAGACCTTATCATTAAATCTGCGCCTTGATGTCCTCTTTGAGCCTATCTTTAAAGTCACTTGCTTTGGCTTGCATAGAATGTATGAGTTCTTCCAATGTCATTATCTTTTTATTATCTTATTTCAAAATTTACTTCCACCTTTGTATTTCCAAATTGACTTTTATTTTTCACAGGCTTTGTTGTTTGTTTGTTTGTTTGTTTTTAATTTTTGTTAATTTGCTTTTAGTTTTCAACAATCATTTCCATAAACTTTTGAGTTTTAAATTTTCTCCCCCTCCTTCCCTGCCTCCCTTCCTAAGCTGGTGAGCAATCTGATATAGGCTCTACAAATGCATTCCTATGAAACATATTTTTACATTAGTCATGTTGTAAAGAATTAGAACCAATAGGAGGAACCATAAGAAAGAAGAAACAAAACAAAACAGAAAAGGAAAGGAAAAAAAAGAGCAAATCGTATGCTTCGATCTGCATTCCAACTCCATAGTTCTTTCTCTGGATGTGGATAGCATTTTCCATCATGAGACTTTTGGAGAAATCTTAGATCCTTGCATTGATGAGAAGAGCTAAGTCTTTCAAAGTTAGTCATTGAACAATATGGCTGTTACTGTATACAATGTTCTCCTGATTCTGCTCACTTCACTCAGTATCAGTCCATACAAGTCTTTCCAGGTTTTTCTGAAGTCCACTTGTTTATCATTTCTTATAGCACTATAGTATTTCATTCATGTACCACAACTTGTTCAGCCATTCCCCAACTGATGAGCATCCCCTCAATTTCCAATTCTTTGCCACAACAGAAAGAGCTGTTATAAATATTTTTGTATGGATCCTTTTCCCATTTATATGATCTCTTTGGTATACAACCCTAGAAGTGCTATTGCTAGCTAAAAGGGCATGCACATTTTTATAGCCCTTTGGGCATAGTTCCAAATTGCCCTCCAAAATAGTTGGATTAGTTCACAACTCCACAACAATGTATTAATGTTCCAATTGTCCCACATCTCCAACATTCATCATTTTCCTGTTTTGTCATTTTAGCCAACCTGATAGGTGTGGTATCTCAAAGTTGTTTTGATTTGCATTTCTCTAATCAATAGTGATTTAGAGCATTTTTTTTCTTATGACTATAGATAGCTTTAATTTCTTCATCTGAAAACTGCCTGTTCATATCCTTTGACCATTTCTCAATTGGGGAATAACTTGTATTCATATAAATTTGACTTAGTTCTCTATATATTTTAGAAATGAGCCCCTTATCAGAGACATTGGTTGTGAAAATTCTTTCCCAGTTTTCTGCTTCCCTCCTAATCTTGGTTGCATTGGGTTTGTTTGTGCAAAACATTTTCAATTTAATGTAATCAAAGTAATCAATTTTTCATTTCACAATGTTTTCTATCTCATTTGGTCATAAATTCTTCTGTTCTCCACAGGTTCCATTGTTTTGGAGAAATTTTCTATTTCTTTTAAAAAAATTTTTAAATTTTATTAATTTATTTTGATTTATCAACAATCACTTCCATAAGCTTTTGAATTTTAAATTTGTCTCCCCCTCTCTCTTCACCTCCCTCCCCAAGACGGCACACAAATCTGATATAGGCTACACATATACATTCCTATTAAACATATTTTCACATTAGTTATGTTGTAAGAATTAGAACCAATAGGAGGAACCACTAGAAAGAGGAAACAAAACACAACAGGAGAAAAAATAGCAAATAGTATGCTTTGATCTGCATTCAAACTCCGTAGTTCTTTCTTTGGAAGTGACTAGCATTTTCCATCATGAGGCCTTTGGAGATGTCTTAGATCCTTGCATTGCCGAGAAGGGTTAAGTTTATCAATATTAGTCATCGCACAACGTGACTGTAACTGTGTACAACATTCTCCTGATTCTGCTCATTTCACTTACCATCAGACCATACAAGTCTTTCCAGGTTTTTCTGAAGTCTGTCTGGTCATCATCTCTTATAGCACAATAGTATTCCATTACATTCATATGCCACAACTTGTTCAGCCATTCCCCAATTGATGGACATCCTCTCAATTTCCAATTCTTTGCCACCACAAAAAGAGCTGCTATAAATATTTTTGTACATGTGGGTCCTTTTCCCATTTATATGATCTCTTTGAGATACAGCCCTAGAAGTGCTGGGTGAAAGGGTATGCACATTTTTATAGCCCTTTGGGCATAGTTCCAAATTGCTCTCCAAAATGGCTAGATCATTTCACAGTTCCACCAACAATGCATGAGTGTTTCAATTTTCAACATTTATCATTTTCCTGTTTTATCATGTTGGCCAATCTAATAGGTGTGATGTGGTTCCTCAGAGTTGTTTTGATTTGCATTTCTCCAATCAATAGTGATTTAAGGCATTTTTTCATATGACTATAGATGGTTTTAATTTGTTCATCTGAGAATTGCCTGTTCATATTCTTTGACCATTTATCAATGGAGAAATTTTCTATCAACTGTTCTAAATTGTCTACTCATTTATTTGTCTTGCTAATCCAATCTTGGAGAACTCTGCTTAAACTCTGCCTTAATTCCCAATGTTGTTTTAATTATTTTTTTTAAATATTTTATTTCACTTCCTAATCATTTTGGGCTTTCTTAGTTTTCCATTTTCTCTGGGAATCCCATAGAATTTCCATGCTTTCTAATTTTTATGGGGAGTTTTATGGGACTTTAAGACTGATAGCAAAACATCTATTCTTTTTCAGTTTTTTTTTTCAAAACTAAATGACTGTTTTTCCTCTCCTTTGTTAAGCTCATTGTTGGTTTATCTCTTTGCGGGCTGAGGCTAACCCCAATTTCTCTTTTTTGAGTTTCTTGCCTTCTGTCCTTTTTCTTCTGTTCTGAGTTGTATCCTTTCCACTCATCCATACCAATGGGATTTGGTGGCTTCAATCACCTTGTACTGCTGAAAGGAAGGAAATAAGGGGATAACTATATTTCTGATATGTGGAAACTTTATGAGGGGAAGAACACAGCTGGATTTATAAAACTTTCTTTTCCTGCTAGCAATTTCCTTTAATTCTATTCTTTCTAGTTTTGCACTGTTATATGTCTCCCAATCTTGTCTGCCAGTTGCTTGTTCTCTCCATTGCTGGAATAGATGAGCTCAATACTCTCCTTCCATTAAAGATATG